TGTTTGACATGATGATAATAAATAAGTCAGGACACACATGGTTGTTGCTTAAAGAAGCTGTATTTCATTGAAATGTATACATAAGTTAATTGTTTTGGATCTTTTTGTTACCCAAGTTTTTCACTGCTATATTTCTAGAGCCTAGCATGTGCCAGACATGAAGAAGCACCTTATAAATATTTATTGAATCAGTAAATAGATGAGTGTTGGGCTGATATGAAATGAATTCTAGACTTTTTAAAACTTAAAAGTAACATTTGGCTTCAAAATTGTTAAATCTGTACATGTGATGTCTGTTTTAAAAAATACTTTATTTTTTCAAATATGCTCTAGGGTGTTTAAAAATATTCTTTAAATAAACTACTGTCTTCCAGAGAATTCCATGTTTATGAGTAAGTAATGAGGAGATATTCATTGTTTTTAGGTCCTTTAAAACTAGTCCTCTTGTGATTAGTGTGAATTAATGCTTAGTTCCACATGCTCAGTGTTCAGAGTGAAACTCTTGACTTCAGAGTCAAACTCTCTGGATTGAATGTGGTGCCTTGCCCATTAATCCTGTCCTGAGCTAGTATTTCCTTCTTTAAGCTTTCTCAACCTTGAGTCTACAAAACAGGTGTAATCGTTCAGCACTTCTTATTAAATTAATATCAGTAAAATACTTAGAGCAGTGCTGGCAACTTAATTGGTGCTTGGTAAGAAAATTGATCTGTGGAATGCATTTAACAACAATACCTTCCTCATGGGATAGTTATGAAAAATAGTTTCATTATTTTTTTGATACTGGGGATTGAAGCCAGGGGTACTTTAACACTGAAGTATATCCCCAACCCGTTAACTTTTTTTTTTCTTGCTAAGTTTCTGAGGCTTGCCTCAAACTTGTGATTCTCCTGCCTTAACCTTCTGAGTTGCTGGGATTACAGGTATGTGGCCTCATTCCTGGCATAATTGTGAAAATTAAATGAGAGATTTCTAGCACACATACATAGTGCCTTGATGCCTAGTGAATGCTTCATAAATTTTTATGATTATTTCTTAGATATGTCTTCTTTACTATCTGTAATTTTTTTTAAAAAAATAAGCACACATAAAACCAGAGACCAACCAAGTGATACACTGAATGGCATAAATCAGAAGAGACTTGGACATTGGAAGAAAGGAAGAATCCCTGTCCTGGAATGTGAGAGAAGAATCCCTGGTGACAAGAATTAGAATGGGGCAAGAAGAACTTAGAGGAAGGAGAGTTTTTCAAGCAGGAATCAAAATAGTCTGCAGTCCAGAGGGCTGAGGGAAACAGGAGAAAGGCCAGAGTAAGGATAAATGAGTGGCAGCCGGTGGTGGGCAATCAGTGGTAAAGTGAGGCTGGGGAGAGCCTGCTGTTGCCCCAGTTGGGCAGTAGCCAGCAGGATGTCCAGGGCTGCTTTTCTTCTCATTTGGATCTCCCTGGCAGAGGTGGCCTCTCCCAGCCCCTGTCTACATGCCTTCCTTTGCCTATACACTTTTGTTCCTGCATCCTTTTTGTTCTTGCTTGATGCCCTTTGGCCCAAGAATTTACTACTCAGCTTTCGTAACACTTTCTTGGGATTGCATTTCTTCTGGAGAATGGCTGTGTCCCACTGAAAGCTTTTTCCTGAAAGGAAATGAGCAGGGAGGAAAAAGCTCTGACTACCCTGAGGTCTTTCAGCAGGCCATTAGAGCGTGAGCTCTCCTGTGTGCCCTGCTTCCTCTTGCATATTTTCTTTGGAATGGGGACGAGTCATCATTTAACAAATAACTATGATAGTGGACCGGATCCTATCATGGATCCAAGGCCCCTAAGATTCTTTTGGTATAAAGATCCCTTTTGAGCTGCCAGGCTTCCTATAAAAGATGTATCCCAGGTTTCTACAGGATACACACCTTATTCTCTTTTTTGTTTGTTTAACTCACTCTGGCCTCAATGGCTGAGTGTATAATGAACTAGTTTTCAGGCTTTTTAGGCTCTGGGCTCAATGTTCTTTCCTTTTAGCTTTGGAACACTGATTAAGGATGATCACCTTGGTTACCTATAATTTGTTACCCATGGGTTTGTAAAAAGAAATAACCACAGAAGAGTTGGCATCTTTGAAGATAATTGTGTATATGGACATGGGGGTCGTAGTCATGGAGCATATTATGTTGGCTACGGCATTTGCTGACTCAAATGGCAATATTGTGTATGAAACTTTATAGGACCTATATACATGTAAAAGATTGTCTCCAAGAAATTAAGAAATTCATTTCCAAAAGGATATACTAGGTTTAAAGAGTAAATAAAGAGAAAAGAGATATAAAGCATAGTTGAATTTAATAAATGCTAAAAGCATAAAGAGTGATATTTATAAATATTTTACACAAGAATTTATAAGAGATCTGTTGCAGATATTCTTCAGGGGTAGATACCTTTCTTATATTTAGAGTTGTTTGATATTTGAGATAGATAACTTACTAACTCTTGATACCTTCCATGAATTCTGACAACTTGTGAGCCAATTTCTGTGTAAATGAGGTGGGTCTGAAGGTGGCATTTACTAAGCTATGACTATGGGCCAGGTTAGTTATGTTCACTCACTTAAACCTCACCATATCCCTGTGCAGTCAACATTATTCTGATTTTATAAACAAGGAAATAGAAGCTCAGAGAGTAGGACAAGTGAGTTGTTCAAATTCTTACATGGCTCATGAATGCTGGGCCTAAAACTCTGATCTCCCTAGTACATCATAATCCTTTTCTTTTTGTGTAACTGCCTGGACACATTCTCTTGCTAAATCTTTCCTCCATGCCCATAATGGTCCTGAGCTTTCAAATTTGATTTAACCCATATCCAAAGTATTAAACTGAACTTAGGTCAGTTTACTTTTTCAAAGATACACTCATCATCATGCATTAATATTATATAAAATGTATTTTGTGATCAAGCAAATTTGGGGAATACAGAATTAAAACCAATTTACCATGTTTCTTTACTGCAGGACTTCTTTGGGTTTTATATATACTAAATGGACTCTGAATCTCTAAAGAAGAATATTACACACATCCTTTTACAAGCTATTTATTGTTGATGTATTCACTCATCCTTTTATTGTAGTAGAAAGCCTCAATGGGTTCTTTTCCATGGAACTACCTATCTTGGTAGTGTGTCATTTTGGGTAAACCATTTTACCTCTTTAGCCAATTTTCGATTTGCCATATTGGACTAAAGGTCTCTTTGGCTTAAAAAATTCTGTGGTAGAGGCTCTATCCCAAATCCAGGCATTTGTCCAGACAAATAAACTTGCTAAGTATAGAATATGATTTTCTGAAAACCACTCATTAATTATTTGCCAAATACTATGCTAGATTCTGAAGATATAAAGATAAAAATAGGATAAATAAGATAGACTATTTCTCAGGAGGGGGAATACATATCAAAAGATGATTTAAAAATTAAGAGAGCAGAAGAAATAGATAATATAGACACATATGAAGTGATGATTATATATATGTTTTCAAAATCTCAAGAAAGAAGTTGAAGCATTCACAAGTAATAAAGACTTATGGAGGAGTTGCCTTCTCCTTGTGGAGTTGTGCAAGGCCTGGTAGAGGGAGAACAGCAAATCCGAGTCTTGGGACAGGTAGGCATCATACAAAGGGAAAGTACTCCAGGCAGAAGGGGCATAAGAACAAAAAAAAAACACAGAGGGTTGAAGCAGCATAATGTGGGCAGTGATCTATAAAAGGAAAGGGAGGCTGAGCATGGACTTGCAGTAGGCAGGGCTATTTGTTGAGGGCTTTCTGTGTCAGATGCTTGAACTTTATCAGATGATGTGGTGGGGAGTGAGCAGAAGACCTAAGTAGAGAAGTGACATGGTCACAGATGCATTTTATAGAGCTGTGTAGAAAATAGAAAAGAGAGGGAGGGAGACAAGTTCAAGATGACTGCAGATGTTGAGGCCAGCTAATGAGCACCTGAACCAGTAGAATAATTGGACATCAGAGGAAGGGATGGATTTGAGAAACATTTAATATTTAGTAGGTATAAGCTGCTCAGTCTGGTGATAGATTAGATGAGGAGGGCAAAGGTGAGGTAATCACCTTCTAGTTTGGATGAATAAGTGTATAATGTCAGCATTATAGGTGCTACCTTGTGGAGAAAAATTATGTGATGTGATTGGTTTGGGACCTGTGCAGTATAAGGCCCTTCTAAGACATTAGTCAGTATCTAAAAATTTGGAGTTGTTATACAAACTCATCCTGTGCAAATAGAGGTTTCATTTGGAGTAGAGGACTCACATGTAAGGACCATTTAATGTTGCCACTTACTTGATTTAGGTTGTTGGAATATTACAACTAAATGGCAGTGTTATTTTATTTTATGTTATTGTATTTTGTGGTGCTGGGATCAAACCCAGGACCTTGCTGGTGCCAGGCAAGTGGCAACTTTAGTTTTAATATAAATGTAATTATTAATAAAAATATAAATAAGGTCAGTTAATCTTAACCATAGCATCATGAGGTTTGCAATAGATGGTGTTTGTACTTACTGGTTAAGCTCTAGTGGTCTTAAGAATATTTATTGTTGGAAAAAAAAGTCTAGAACAACTAATTTAGAAATTTTTTACCAGTATGAAAATAGCGTTCTTTTCTCAATGATTAAAATTGGTGTTGATGAATTTGAAAGATTATAAATCTACTTCTCTGAATTAGATGTTTAAAGCTGTGTAATACTTCACGCCAAGAAATTAACTCCTCACTTTCCTAGGTGAGGAGTTCAATGCACTATAAAGCATTACAATTGATAGGATTTTTTATACAGTTAGGAATATGGGCCCCATAAGAACAGGTCTAACTATTCCTCACCGGAAGCTGACACAAGTATGAGCCTAGTTTTTGCAGCTCTTTTAGTAAAGTAGTCCTAGATATAGGAGAAGCAGATGATAGGAAAGTGGGAGAAGAGTTGTGAGGAAGGACGAGAAATAAATGCAAGGAAAAACAAATCTCTTACCGGGTTCTTGTTGTATTTTGTGGTTGTTTTTAAACCAAGTGATCTGAGGCTCTGGGACACCGTGAGCTTGACAGTCTAAAGTGGTAGAGCTGCTGATGGCTACTGTGTGATCACTGAGGTTTCGCACAAGGTGTGGCGCTTCCTGATCTATTGAGGGAAGAAAGGGAGTTGTGATTATTTGTCAGTTTTACTTTTATCTTATATGCATATCAACATTTTAAATATACATAGAAATAGCAAAACTCAAGGTTTCATTTACATTTGGTCCCTTTTCTCTTCAGTAGTTAATCTACTGCTTCCTCTTTAGTAATAAATTGAATAAATTTAATAAATTGAAATGTGTAGAACACAATAAAATCAAGAACTAGATTCTGTATTTTTAAATTTTAATAGAAAAGTTTTTGCCTGGCCAACTGGTTGCCTTCTCTCCTCCCTGTTCCCTCCACCCTGCAGAGAAGAGTTTTTCTAAAATGCAAGGATCTTGTGTAGTTTTAGGAATACAGAAAAATGTGATTTTGCATATAGGCTTACAATAAATGTTCATATTAATGTATAGTGTTGGTAGACAAGCTAATATAATTTCATAGTCCTTTCCCACTTTTTTTTTTTTTTTTGCATGTTAGGCATGCACTCTACCACTGAGCCATACTCCCAGCCTTATGTATTTTTGTTGATGTTTGTGAGGGTATGTTTGTGTTACTCTGTAACCTAAATTTTAAGGCAGTAGACCAAACAGAATTCTTGAATTTTGAAAGCTTTATTGGTTGTTCCCTTCCTCCATTGCCTTCCCCAGTGCAAGCAACCAAAAGATTAATTCAAGAGGCAGAGGCACAGATTTGTAGGTTTTGCACTATATAATAGTACAAATATTGTATTTTATATTATTTTCTCTTAAAACATACAAATATGATACAATACAATTTATTTTAATAAAATGCCAACCAATATAGTACAACAAAATGAATTTAATACATTAAGATGCAATACATTACAATATTAAAATCCCACATAGGAACAGCAGTACCCCTAAGGCCCCCAATGAGTACAGTGTCTCTAATGAAGTAGTCAGTCCTGCTGATGTGTATACATTCTAGTTAGGTGGGTACTAGAGTGGTAGCTCAAGATTCCAAGGAAAAAGAACAAAAACAATCCTAATGTCTCTCCCACCCTCCCAAATTATCCCTTTCCACTCGTTGCAAATCCTGGAACAGAAATCAAAAGAGTTTTGGCATAACTTACACATTCTGCGTCACTGGTTTCAGTTATACAGTATGAACTTTCTCTGACCATTTTTGATTTCCTCATCTTAGTGTACTAACACTGTAAAAGCAGCTTAGGAGTAATTACAATGCTACAAAAGATGATACAGTGCAGTGGCTTTGATTCCACGTCCCTGTAGGATTCTGCAGACTCCCAAAACCTTTCTCTTTTTATTCCTGCAGGAAAACTCTCAGGATTAGCATTCGTTAAAGCCATTTAGAAATCCCAGGTTAAAAGTATATTATCATATGACTTTTATAGCATGTTGAAGTAGTATAACATGGCAGGGTTACTATCAGTTAAGAGAAACAGATTTCTCAATAAATTTTGATTTCCATAGCTTATCATTAGTCACTTTATATAAAATGAAATCTGAAGGCAAAAAAAACCCCCAAAAAACAAAAAACAAAACAGTGTTGAAGGATGTACTCTGATTTATAAAACCTTCTTCAGACATAGTGTAGATTGAATGATAGCAGTGGTCCTTTTTCCTCTTTCAGCATGTCTTTCCTATTCTTTTCCTAAATGTTGCAGAACCGTTGCAACATTTCTGTGTTTGCATTCTGGGCAATCTGTCAAACAGCTTTACTTAACTGAAAATGCAGCTTTGTATAAGGCCTTCAATTTATGATCCCTGCTTGCTCTTTACAAATTTGACATTTTTATGCAGCAAAGACCCCAAACATATCAATGAAACATGACAAGATAGTAAAGAATTGTATCATATTATTATTTAGTATCTTCTTTAGTGGCAAGACAACTTTGACATCTCATTTAAAATAACTCAGACCCAGTTCACTGAGTTATATATTCTTTAGAGCTTCCTCCTGCACATTTTCCAGTGTGTTAAAATATGCTAAAATAATCTGTCGTGCTCATAGGCCTTCTAAAAGGAAATGCAAATACAAGGCTCACAACACCTAAATTATTTTCATAGATGTAATCATCAACACAGACAGATTTGGACTTCCCTGACAGATGTATTTGAAAACAATTCTTATATAGAAGAGAACATTTTATTTCAACATACATGTCTTAAAGAACCCCCAAAGGCCCTATTTATGACACAAACATAAGACAATAAAAGCAGCCAAAAAGCTGCAGAATTAACATGGAAATCTCAATTAAATACAGGGTTCATATAAACATTCTGAAACATACAGTGTTAGGATTTATTTCTGGAAAAAATGTTGCCCTGTGTTAAATGTCTCATTTTTTGGCTAGTTTCCAAATGACGACCCAACCCAGGAGTCATATTTTGTTAATTTCCTACTTTATATACTGTAATAATCTGATTTGACATTTTAAGAAAAGTACATTGAACCCATGTGTACTCTATGGAAATAGATACCTGCTTTCCAGAATTTAACAAAGTACAACTGGTCCTGTTAAACCGAGAAAATTGGAATTAACAGAATATTTCTGCTGGTTATCAGTAGCCAAAGATAGCTGCCTACCAGGTGGTGGTTCTTCTTTTCAGTGTTATGGTCCCAGAGATTTCCCAGGTCCTATAAATATACAATTTCTTTTCTCCATTTGGAATGGGGTCTAAGGAACCAGCCTCACACCCCTATTCCACCAATTATTCTTTCTTTCTCTTTTTCCCCTCTATTATCCTCACCTCATTTCATACCCTTAGGTGTAACAAAAAGCAAAATTCACCCTGTTAGTTTCTTTTCTAAAAAACAGTTGTCTGGAAGATTAATTACATAGTGAACAATTAATTAGTCTATGAAATTCTTTTTTTTCTCTCTTTTTTTGGAAAATTTAAAATCATCTCTTGGAATACTAACATCTTCCCCTCCCCACAAAAACCTGGAGTAAGGGGAAAGAAATGGTTGGCTTTGCATGTCCAATATATCATTTTTCATAAGTAATTCCTAAATTATTTCATTTGCTTTTTTAGCTTTCATAAAAACCAAGGCCCCCAAGTTCTGTTTGGCATTGTTTCCTGAAGGAACACACTGACTTATAATGAACAAAGAGACCAGGCCAAAGAGCCATAGGTAAAATTTCAAGATACAATTGATTATTCTTTCCTTTGGGCTGACAACTTCCAGGTTACTAATTGTTTTCAGAGCATTTGGGGCTCCATAAAACTGGTATTCTGGGGAAATGCTATTGTTTACTCTTTCACATTTGACAAAAGCAATTCCCACGTGAAAGACAAGTTTAGCCGTGGGACAGAGTCTGCTACCTAAAGGAGGAAACAGGCTGGTGAGTTCCCAAGCTTGAAAAGTTGTCATATTGTCACCTCCTATTGAACTGCCCAGCCACTGTTTCTCAGCCATGGCTATTTTGGTCTTTATAGTTTTATTTTTTTTCCCTTGTAGTTCATGAAAGTCACAAATAATAATTAATCATAAATGAAAACAACAGAACAATGTATATTAAATTAATGAAAAATTCATTTTCCCCTAAAATGCAAGCTTAAAACAAGAGATAATAATCTGTCTTGATTTAAAAAAGAAATGGCATGTATTTTTAAATGACTGATTCTGCTTCTGTGGTTTTGCCATTTCTTAATCCTCATAAAAATCCAATTAACATTTTGCATATGGGGAAAATGGGCTTTTTTAATGGATAGATTTTCAATTGACATTTAGAAGAATGCATTAAACCTCTGGTTACAGTAGCTTTTATTTCTTTAAATAAATATAAATTGATTGTGGACCACCTTTGAATGCCATCACCTCAACATGATAGAGTTCTTTAAAAGAATAAGAGGGAGACACAGATATTTAAAACGAAGGCTTGGTGCATTTTCAAGTTCTGCTAGTGGCTGTTTAGTCCAGTCTGGGGTAGTGACTAGTTGCTGGACTTGTTCCTGCAGTACTAACAGCATAATGAATATGACCTGGAAGTATGTGAGAGAGTGGGGGTGGTTGATTTAAGTGGACTTTCATAATAAACACTGTGCCAAGCTTTACTTTCTTTGAATTATACCAACATCTTGCATCCCCAGGGCCCATTTTAGAAACTCCAGTTTAAGATCAACGTGCTTAATGAAAGAAAAAACAAGAAGCATTTTCAAATAAATACGCATTACACCTTGCTTTCCAGGTGCTATTTACAAATCAAGAGCAGATGAAATAGTATAAAATAAAACCAGGCAGAAGTCCAACAGAGTCTCAAATTCAATGGTACTCATTTCTGAACTGGAAAATTAACTTATTCATGTCCATCTTTGGCAGAAACCAGCATTTGTTTAAGTTATTCAGTTTGTGCAGCTTCACAACTTAAAAATAAAAAGAGGTTGGCATCAAAGTGGAAGGAAAGGATCAGTCCCAAGTTGTTGTTTATCAGGCAGGAGAAGACAGCAAGAGCGAAAAACAGAGATTGCAGTGCAGGGATCCTCCAAATCCAAACGTGCACCAGGTCGGCCCCAGAGGGCAAAGCCCTCAGCCTGAACGGGGAGCCCCAAGCTGGCACCTGGGGGGCTCTCATAATTACTCCTATCATCTCCGAACTCATTTTGGGAGGAGCATCTCCTCTGAGCCTGAAAGTTAGCAACAGTGACAATAAATCAAGATGATATGAGACAACTGTTACTTTTTTAATGAGTCCTTTAATGTTTTACATTACTTTGTGTGGTACAATCATTCCTCGTGCTTTTAAATTTGGAGATCCGAGAGAAAACAGCCTTTTTGTTGCAGTGCTCACCTCTAATAATAACTTCTGTCTTCTGAAGGATTTCTTCCCCTGTGTATACGTTCCTGGCTCTGCAGGCATAGGTGCCCGAATCTTCCAGAGATACATTCTTGATGATAAGGTTAAGAGTAATAGAGTACTCTTTAGTGATGGCCATTTTTTGCTTGCTGATACTGTGATGCATTGTTCTGTTGTTTACTGTGCGCAACAAAATCCAAGTAATGTCTCTGTATAAGAATTTGTTAACTGTGCAAGACAGTTTCAGGTCCTCTCCTTCTGTAGGCATTTTTTCCAAGTTAACATGAAACCCATTTGGCACATCTATAAAATAAGAATGAAGAATTTCAGAAAAATTGTAGAAAAATCAGTGTCACCTAATGAGATAGTCATGATCTTAAGAATTGTTCCTACACAAATTCTTTCAGCATTAGCATTAAAAAGGATGAGTATTTGTCTTTTTATTTTAGGGGAACTGGTTTAACAGAGCAGGGAGACCAAGTAAGCTCATTCTGTAAGAAGTGAGATAGGAAAAGCAAATCAGGGACAGTTTATTAGGATGGCACTTTTTCCTTATTTGCCTGAAGTTGCTTTTCACAGTGGAATTTTTTTTCCAACTTGGTATGATAACCTTGTTTCCCACTTTTTAAATTATATACAGTCCTCCTACTGGTAAGTGGACACTTTTTGCTGGGGATGGAATCCCACTTGCAAGGCAAGTGCTTTCCCACTGAGCCATACCCTCAACCCGTAATTGGACATTTGAAGTGGGCAAAATAGTGTGAAGTAACATAAGAGCAATTTGCACTAAACCCAAAGATAGATGTATGGGCAAACTTGACCAAAATAGCTTACAAATAAGCATGGGAAGTTGTAGGTATTTGCCCTACCCTTTGCCAGTGACAAGCTGCTGATCCAGCAGTATCCTCACTCTTTGCTGGCACTGTGGACCAGAAGAAAGCCAGGCCCCCTTTATGGTGGTGGCCCTACTCAGACATAAAAGAGCAAAGATTTCTTCTGAAAATTCCAGGTTTCAAAAATGGAAAAGAACAATTTTAAAAAAAATCACTGGAAGAGTTGCCAAACTCCAAAGATGGCAAAAATAATTTAAAAAATTAAGATTTTGGGCTGGGGCTGTAGCTTAGTGGTAGAGCACCCTGTCTTGCATATGTGAGGCACTGGGTTCGATCCTCAGCACCACACAAAAATAAATAAAGATATTGTGTCCAACTACAACTAAGAAAATACTAAAATAAATAAATAAAAAGATTTAGGGTTGGGGCTATACTCAGTGGTAAAGCACTTGTCTACCACCCATAAGGCCCTGGGTTCAATCCCCAGCAGCTCAAAAAAAAAAAAAAGTCACATTTACTCTCAAAAACATTTTAAACATGTTGTGAAAGTGACTGTGTCACTAAAAGCCATTTCTTCTCCAGTGTCAATTCCTGGCTCACCTTCTTCTCTAAGTTACTTTAGTGATAATCTGTGTGTTCTCCTCAGCATTTCTACTAAGACCAGCATTTTGCTTTTAGGCTGTGAGTTCCTTATTGACATTATGGACCATATTACTGAGGATTTTAAAAAACTATTGGCTATTGGTCCTGAACTGACCTGCTCTCAAAACCCTCCCGTTACTTGTTACTAGTGGTGTATCTATATTTGAGCAAAGAATTTGGGCCAACATTTTACAAAGTGCTTTGAAGATGAAAAGCACTATGTTATGCTATTATTATTATTATCCTTTGCACACAAAGCTATAAAGAAACCTTTAAACCTTAAGGGGACAATAGTCCAAAATTAGATATCATATCAACTCTTTCCTAAATCTCACTTTGCTTGTTTTTCTGATTTTTCTGGGCTTTGGCTTTATTATAAAGTGTCACGTCTGAAGAAATGCCAAAGTATTCATTTGAAACCTGGGAATGGGGGATAACAGTGGCTTATGAAGTTGTCAGTGGCTGACAAGAGAGGAGATTAGTAGTGGTTTTCCTGCTCTAAAATGAAAATCTAAGAACGTGCCAGAAGATGCGGGAGCAGTTGACAGTCATTTTCAACTTAACAATAAGGTGTCAGAAATAGCTATTCTAATTCATCATCGTTTTACATTTTGGACATTTTCCAAGTATGAGGAGTAAAATATCAGCCATCAAAGTTACACGGATACTAGAGCAGAGGTACTTTGCACTGGTTGCAATCAGATCATCTCTTAAAAGATCACGGACTTTCCATTTATAAGGACTCATCCTGGTAGGTAAAACCCAAATGAGCCCAGTAACACCATTGAGATCATGTAGAGAGTTTCTATTTACTTTAGTGATTTGAAACTTCCTGTGGAAATAGCTCACAGGTTTCCTGATGGAAGATTTTGTTTATCTTTGCCAAGCACCACCAGGAATCTCAAAATAAAATGCATTTAGTGACATTGGGAAACCAGGGAGATAAGGCAGCCGCTGTTCCTGTTTCACCCTCAGTAACTGCTCACACACCCATAGTCATGCTGAGTGCCAGCAAAACTGCAAAAACACACACAGAGGAAAAGAAAAGCACCAAATCCATTTTGAGGTCTGTTTCTTGTATGAGTGACACAGTTACTAAAGTAATTTGGTTTAAGTCATCAGGCAGTCTTAGAGAGGATTATCTATTTCTCAATATAACCCCTTTGGTATTCTCTTTTGATCCATGGAAGATCATAAATAAAGTGTCCGAAACTGTTTAATGAACCCAGAGGGATTTTCCCCTTAATTCATGTTGATTTTTTTTAGCCTGAGTACAAAAACAGACCCAAGAAAGAATTGCCTTTTAACCCTCCAAGTGAAAACGTCCCACACTTCAGTATCTTTTGCAGATTCAGTACACTCATAGTCATCACCAAATAATGCCCATCCATCTAACATAGGCACATCCATGGAGTCTTACAAGGTGTCATGGAGAAGAATCAACTCTTGCTCAGAAGAGACATTCTACCTAGGGTTAGGTGAATGAGTAATGTTCATTAAGGAGTACATTAGGGGATAGACATTTTGATTTGATTGGCTCAGATGTGGATTAAGTTCATGAAAGAGACAAATATAAGAAATTTAAAAGGATGAAGGAGATCTCATTTTTTAGAAATGTAGGTTTTTCTTTCATTGAAGAACAGGAATAATATTCTCTAAAAAGAAAGTGAATGGTTATTATAAAGTTTTGTTTATTTCAAGCAGATGCCATGTACAAATGTGTGCCAAAATTTGGAGTTGAAACAGTCAAGGATGCTAACGACCACAGTTAGCCAGTTTTCATCAATTTGGAAGGTAAAGTTATTACTGTATTTCAAGACAGGACCATAAGATTGAAAGGAGGATCAATAAAGATCCAAATCTAGATCTTTAAAGCATTAAATTTTTAGACGTCTTTTTCAAGATGCTCCTTTAAGGATTAACATTGAGCAAATAAACATTTTTTTTTTCAGAAAAATAAACATGTTAAGTGTATTATTTCTAAGACTATTTTGCCTCATCTCTAGTGAAAATATATCTTGTGACAAAGATAGGAAAGATAGTAAAATGACTCAGACATAACTTTTCTATGTTCATATATGAATATATGACTAGTGTAACTCCACGTCATATACAATGACAAGAATGGGAAGTTATACTATCATGTAGGTACGATATATCAAAATACATTCTACTGTTGTGTATAACTAAAAAGAACAAATAAAAAAAAGAAGATAATTGGTTAAAAATAAATGAAGAATGTAAACAAATTAATCTACTATTACCAATTCAAACTAGAACTTCGTAGGACTGATAGTAAAGAATTATTTGGAGAAAGGATAGTCTAGGCAGTGGGTGGGAAGGGAGGCTGGATTGCCTAAACTCATGTTCAATTTTAAGATTAAAGCTCTTGAATTTCTAGAGCAAAAGTACTGAGAGCTTCTAGCAGGTATGTTTGAAGGAAGGGAGTGGGCCTTTCCCTTCCACTCTTAGCACATCTTCTTCTAGTGCTATGCTCAGGCTCCGGTAAGCAGGGTCTCTGTCCTGGGCCTTTTGATGGGTGTCTTCTGGTTGTATCCCTCCCTACATTGTGAAGAATCTGGTATTCTATACCCACCCAGAGCCCATGTTACTCCACGCCTATATCGTGCTTTTGGTCCTTGGGATCTTAAAATTCCCCAAAAAGCTTATCCCAAATCTGCTTCCAGGTTGACTTAGCCTCTCTCTTCCCTAGGACTGGCCTCCTGAGATCAGACTGCTTGTCAGTGTGTACACCTCTAGGTTCATCCGAGAAGTAGACAAGGAAGATTGTTTGTGAGGGGCATGGGCAAGTGTGGGGGCGGGCTGGGAGACCACACAGGGAGGAGCATGGTCTTTAGCTGTGTGGGGCCCATTCAGGGGTGGAAAGAAGCAGTGGGTCAGCCAGTCTTTCTGTGCCATTAGGTACTGCTGCAGTCTACTCCACCATTCTGAATAGTACCAGGTTTCTAAGCTTGTGTTGGCCTTTTGGGTCCTTGTGAAAGTATATTTGTCCATAGGAAGTTGAAAAATATGTAACAGCCTCTTGGCTTGATTCAGAACATGTCAGTGGTTAGACCAATGATTTGTGGGCTTCTGCTAGCACTCTTGCCTTGGCTTTCAAAATATCAAGGCAGGCTTGACCTCTTCCCTCTACCTTTTCAGATTCTACCCCTATCCAGGGCCTCTCAAATCCTGCTTCCTTCCCGGGGGCTTAGAGCTACACTGGCCAATATGGTACCCATTAGCCATGTGTGGCTTTTGAGCACTATATATGTATATGGCTAGAATGACTAAAGACCTGAATTTTATTCAGATTATTTTATTTAAAGTTATTAATATTTAAAAACTGAAGTAGTGTTATATTTTTAAAATGGTGGTCACAGGACTAGGTTCTAACTCAGTGGCAGAGCACATGCTTAGCATACACAAGGCTTTGGGGGTTTAATCTCCAGAACCCTCTAAATGTTGGTTATACATTGAAATTACAATGTTATGGATATACTAGATTAAATAAAGTTAATTTCACTTTTAATTTTTTTATTTGGTTTTAGATTTACATGATGGTAGAGTGTATTTTGAAATATCATACATATATGGTATCATAATTAGAGTGAGTTATACTCCATTCTTGTGGTTGTACATTATGTGGAGTTCCATTGGTTATATGCTCATATATGAACATAGGAAAGTTATGTCTGATCCTTTTACTGTCTTTCCTATTCCCATTCCCCTTCCCTTCATTCCCCTTTGTCTAATCCAGTGAACTTCTATTTTTCTCTCCCCTCTAATTTCACGTTTTAAACATGTGGTTACTAGAAAACTTTTACTTATATCTGTGGCTTATCTCTATTGGACAGCAATGCCTCTAGAGTAAATTCATCCATCAGATCACTTCTGCACAGACATTTTGATACAGGGATACATGTAAATTTTTTTTTTAACATTTCTTCATTTGCTCAGTCTTAGAACTGTCTGCTAGAAAGATAGGGCTTCACGGATATGCCTTAAAGAGCTTAGTGCTCAGTTTTAGTGTGTTGTTTAATATTAATAGTGCTCATTAAGCTGCTGCAAACTTGCTGAATATTCAGAGCAAAACAGGAATTGCTCCATCATTTGTACTCTGAATCAGACACATAGTTTAAATGGTAACTTGTTTCCAACTAAATTTAAAAGACAATACAAATCTTTGGATTAAATTAGTTCAGATCATCTGGATTTATTAGAGACTCAGCCTGTGTGAAATCCCTGTCAGAATCTATCTCTCGGAAGGGCCCTTTCCATGCTTGGAAGGGATGCAAACTGCTTTCCCTTCCACTTCCATAAGGTGAGAAGACAGGGACTGACTTGGTCTAGAGTGGCCCTGCCATGGACCTTCTCCCCTGTCTAGACCCTGTTTTTTCATCTGGAGTGCTCAGGATCTAGAATGGTGTCTAGCCTCTAAGAATGCCTTCCAGCCCTGATCTTCTGAGAGAATTTCCTCCAGGAAATTCAATGTCTCCCATGGCCCAGCTTCTCTGGGACTTGACTAACTTGCCAAAAGGTTTCTGTCACCCGACAGTCCAACTGTCTCATGAAAATTAGTCCTGCCTGTTTCTTTCTGGAGATCGTAGGCAATTTTGTGCCACTTGCCCCATGTACTGCAAAGTTTCCTGAGAGTTGGCAGACTGCCCATGTTTCCTCAGAAATTGGGGAGTGTGGAGCCAGGCAATTGTTTTTATACTTTGAGTTACTTATTTCCTTCCTGTACCCACAGAGGGGCACAGGGAATGCCATTTTTGTACCTTGGAGGTTTGGAGATTTTCAGAGACTATCATATTTGAAACTAAAAATTCTTAAATACTGTAAAAAAAAATTGCCCATTAATTATTAATGAAGCTGTTTCAGATTTCTACAGGAGAGCATCATTTCCCCCAAAGGATAAATTATGTAAGTTGTGCAATGATTAGCTTATAGGTTTAAAAAATCATCATAAGTATTAATAACTGGTTTCCTTGACTGTTATTGAACATGAACAATTAGTATGTGTCAGACCCTGTGCTGAAGGGTGTTCATAAACGAACATACAAGATCCCAAATTCAGAATCCAGTCTGGGAGGGAGACACACACAAATAACTCTAAAAGAGAATTCAGGGAAATAACTCTTTAGGAGAGCCAATGATGTTGTAGAATTCTATTCCTGAGAGCAAGGATGAAGGTACTCAAAGCTGACAGTTCTATGGAATTTTTTTTTTTTTTTATAATCAAGCTATAAGTGCACTAAAAGCAAACAGGATAACAGGATTGAGTAGAGACTGAGATCATCAGGCTGTTTTCATGGGCATACGATGTGTGGCTTACCTGTGATATAAAAGCTTATGTTTCTTTCCACAGTCCCTATTTTATTAGATGCCATGCAACTATAGATTCCAGAAATTCTAGAGTCAGCCACAACTAAGGTGCTAGCCGTCTGCAAAAAGAAAAAGAAACTTTAGCAACAGGAAAAGATATTTGAACATCTCTAAGCAACTTTTTATCTTGGCAGGCGATGGTGCTGGGAGTTGAACCCAGGGCCTTGTGCATGCTAGGCAAGCGCTTTCACTGAGTTACATCCCCACCCCTCTAAGCAACTTCAGAAGATTGAAATGATTCCATTATTTCATTCATTTAACAAAGACAGTATTGTATGAATGGTGGTTACTATGAAGCTCTCCCCTTGCTGAGCCCCAACAAGAATGGAAAAATAACAGGAAAGCAGGTCCTCAGGAGACCGGGGCCCATGACATCCGACTCATACGAGGGTTTCAGGCTTATCTTGTGTTGCTGGCATAACAATTAGAGACCTTAAGCTGAGATGTGGGACTGCACGTCCCACTCTATGAGGTGGTCAGTTCCATGTCAATAAAAGGAACAGGTGAGGCCAAGTCCTTCCCTTGTTTGGGTGAGCTCAGAGCATGGATGCCAGCTGGAAATAGGTCTTTTCTGTGTTTGGTTCTGTATAGGGTATATTAAGTAAGCAAGGACAGAAGAGAAAGTTTGGCTGAACCATATCTTTTATGTGGATGCAGCCTTCAAATGGTACTGAAGGAGATGAGAGGCTAAAAAGCTTACTGAAATTGTGTGTGTGTGTGTGTATTTGTAAATTACATAATTTCTCAGTTCTTTCAATTGTAATCTAGAACATTAAAATATAAATGATGAATTCAGTGCAGTTTTGCTAGATTTTAGTGCTATTTGACAATTTTGTTCTTAAATAAACAGTAGTTAAGTTTGTATGAACGAAAGTACTTTTTAAACTGTGATGCCTAAAAAATAATGAAACATCATTTTAGACAGCTTGAAGAATGGCATTCTCATAAGGAAAAAAATTATAATGAGACAAGTTGTTGAACATTCTTAAATTTAACACATCCTTGATTAAACAAGTAATATATATTGTACATAAAAAAGCTAGTTTATCATACTTAAAATTACACACACATGCACACAAATACAAGTTGATCCAGTTACTTATAAATCTTTGCACAAATAACTGGTTATGGGATATGTAATTAGAGGGACAATGCTGATGCTTCAGTACTGATCAGGTGTCCTAGATGAAGTATAATTGATTGGTGAGGTGACTTAAAAGCTACAGTAATGCATAGGCTAAAATGTGATGAAGGACTTTTTCTCAGGTGGTGAACATATTCCACAAGTGGTTTGGTTATTGGGAAGGGTCCTAACATTTTGAATTGCTAAGGAATATACTAAGCACTTTATTTGTGGTCTGTTATCCCATCTAATAAATTAAGGTATTTCTATCTTTAATCTACAGACCATGAAGACTAAAACCATGCTTTTAATTTTTTTAGCCAGCAAACTCATTGCTTTAAATTTTTCTAAATGCTTTCTCTTTTAAATGTCTGTGTATTATTGAAATTATTGGTAATAAAAATGTCGGCAATATGTGGCATTTTTTCATTCAATTTAGCAGACATTTATTGAGCGATCATCAGATTGCCTACATATTGCCATGGAGACAGAGATGAATATGACACAGTAGTTCATTTCATTCAACTACTCTTAACAACTTTTAAGATGATGGAGAATAATTGCCATACTTGAAGATCAAATATATATATTCTCTCTTTCAAGAAGAAACACTGTATTAGGTAAATAACAGAGAGAGTAGTTGGAAAGACAGCTTTTCTTATTTTTGTTAGTAATCTTGATAAGAGGAAGGAAATAAAAAATTTTGATAGCCATCTCTTTTTTATCATGAGAAAAAATGGAAGTTATTAGAAGAGGAGACATAGACAGCAATGTGAAAGGAACTGTTAGCTGGTGGCAGCTGGAAGGGCAGTAGAGATCATCAAGTAAGATTCCGACTGCCTTATGTTGTCTCGGGAATCTTGGGTTCAGATGCTTCAAGGTAGTCTGCAACAGGTTCAGAAACAAGGACCTCACGTGAAGCCTTCTGCATGTGTCAGCTTGGGCACTGTTTTTCTCATGAAGTATGTTCTCAAGTGTTTATCCTAAGTTATCTAAGTAGAAACTTACTTAGATTTTCAGATGTATTGTTCATTAAATAAGTGGAAAACCTAATTCTGTCCACTTGACAATGTTTGAAATTTCAGATAGCAGTTACCTGCATCTGTAAGTCATATTCGAGCTTCTATTTAAAAGATTTTCATTTCATTCAACTCAGAGCAACCAAGAACAAGAACTGAATTTCATTACATGGAAAAGTCAATTCACATGTGCACATTTGGCATGTTTAAACCTGTGCAGATAGTCTGGCAGTAGCCATTATCAAGGCTCCATCAGAAGTCATGATTTTTGTATAATCAGAAAATAAAGTTATGGTACCCAGAGGTGATATGAATCTGTTATATGAAGAACCATGAAGATAGGAATGTATTCAAATCTTTCTTCTTTTAATGATGCCTTCCAAAACCAGATATCTTCTCTATAATCAGGCCTACTCCAGAATGTCCCTCACCAAAGTTTCTTTTAAAATAGAAGTAGAAAATAATGGAAATGTACATTTTTTTCTTTGTTTCTGAGTACCTTATGTGGCCCTTGCTTCTAAAGTGCCTTGCACACTGTATGGCATATAGCATTATCTCTTTAATCCTCATTATATACCTATGAGATGAGTGCATTACCCTGTTTGATAAATGGGACATCTGAGGTTTATATAGGTTAAGTGATTCACCCCAAGGTACACAAGACCACAGAGTAGCTTGGGTTGAACTTATGCCCCATGTTTCTAACTCTAGTGCCTCAGTCTCTGTACCACATTGCTTCTCAGCTTAAAACTTTTAAAATTGAATAATATAGATCTATTGGTAAGTTCTGTCTACACTTTGGGTTTTTCATTTAGAATACTTCCTTTCATCAGCAGAGCTGGGTCACATAAGCTAAATGCTCCATGTACAGAATTGCTGTTTTCCTTCTTTGATAGCATTTTACATAAGCTGCAAGATGTTTTTCAACTGTTATAATGTTGTGTGGTTTGAAAATGTTATTGGTGAATGAAAAGGTTATAGTTGAAGAAAATTTTAAAATGAGATGAAATGTATGTCCTATGATTGACTTGATTAAAAATTATCTCCTTTCTAGAGTACATCTCTTTTTACAGACAGTATATCTTCAAATTATAAATTTAAACATTTTCATTTAAAAAGATATTTGAAAATATAAACTGATCAGGAGAAAAAACTCAAGTGTGAATTGTAGCTGAGTGTGAAGACAATTTTGCATAGGACAGTAGGTGTCAGCGCATTGATCTTTGTTAAAAGGGGCAGATCAGGGGCTATAGAATGCTCGCCTCACGACTTGTGAGGCCCTGGGTTTGATCCTCAGCATCACATAAAAATAAATAAATAAATAAATAAAATAAAGATAATGTGTCTGACTACAACTAAAAAATAAATATATAAAAAAATTAAAAGGGGGCATATCTGTTCTCCAGTGATCATAAGCGGATATTACTATTTCACAGGGGAAAAATGAAAATAGTGAACAATTGGAGCACCAAATATCACCTTAATACTTTAAGAGAAAGTACCAAAGATTTTTTCTTTTCTCAGTACTGGGGATTGAACCCAGGGTCTTTGCTACCCCCAGCCCTTTTTATTTTGAGACAGAGTCTTACCAAGTTGCTGAGGCTGGCCTTAAAACTTGATCCTCCTGCTTCAGACTCCTAAATCCCTGGGATTACAGGCATGTATCACTATTCCTAGCTGTGCCAAGGATTTGAGTTGTAACATATGTTTGAAATTTTAATAATTTATTTTATAGTGAACACCAAAAGAAATTCTCAAGGATATCTACTTGTATTATCTCCATGTTTAGTTTTAATTTTCCACAACTAAAAATAAATGAAAGAAGATTGAGGAAAGAAAGAAAGAAAAAGTGCTAAAATAAAATTAGGATGTCCAAGTTCCGATCTCTCAGAAGATCAGAAGAAACAATTCTTTCACACATCTACTTAAAATTCAGTGCCTCAGGCTGGGTTTGTAGGTCAGTGGTTGAGCACTTGCCTCACATGTGTGAGGCACTGGGTTCGATCCTTGGCACCACATAAAAAATAAATAAGATAAAGATATTTTTAAAAGTTCAGTGCCTTATTACACAGGACAAATACATTAACTTAACATTTAAAAAATTTCAGTTCTGTTGGTTAGTTTGGGGTAAGCAGGGTTTTGGTGAGGTTTCCAATCCAATGTAATTCTACATTTTTAAAGAACTCATTTTTCATTCTTTATATTTACTACTTATATTTTGGGGGACTTCTGATTTGGGGGTGCTTCCACTTGCTCTTCCAGGATCTCAAGGGTTTGGATATTAGAAACAGACTTGTCCAGTCCAATCTCTGGGTTCTGTATGACCCAGGAACACTCATGAAAACTGCTGGCAAGTATTATAAGTTTGGAGTTTCTTCATGTTCCTTCCTTCCTTCCCTTTTGCTAAGCATTAGTAATTTGCTTCTACAATGTCATTTGAATGAATGGGGTGATGTGTCATTCAGCCCAATTTCTGTAACTAGTTTTTTAAAAATCTATATATGGAACAGTGTTTTAATTTCGGGATGTTTCAGTGTGCTTTTGAGCGTTTCAGGGAGAAATAAAAGTAGATGGACAAAGGTCAAAGAATAATCTAAAATTAACCTGGGGGCTGTGTGGGAACTGAAACACAAGCTGTAATTCTGTGATTAGAGTTGCTGTTTCTGTCTCAGATTTGCATCATACAATACACCCACTTCTCAATGGGCCCTCAAATGATTTCAATGGAAATGTTTCTACATTGAAATTGTCATGATTCTTCGACCTTTCAGAATGCTTCAATGTGTCTTTCCTGTGTTTTTTCTAACATAGGATTCCTTTTACTTCCTATTTTATATCCATGAACCCAAGAATTTGGCAACTCATTTAACAATATGAAAACTCTACATTTGCTATTAGCCACTCTAATTGATGACTCACATTTCACAAATCTGGCCAAAATCTGCCAATAAGGAAATTCATCTTTATTTCCCTCATATCCTTCCTTGAGTTAAACAGACCGAAAAAAAAAAAAAACAAAACAAAATACAACCCTCCCTCCAATATGTAGCAAGTGCCCCAGCACTAGTGCTAACCCCTTTATGCCTGACCTATAGAGTAGCATTGCTGGGCACGCTACATATGTGATTGCAGATAAAGGGATCATCACCACCTAAATTGGGACTTGAATTTACTTTGTAAACATTTACAGAATAAAAAGTACAGTTTAAAAGTAAATGAAGAACACTGCACATGATTTAGAAATAACAAGGCATATAAAAGATACACCCCTGCCCCCAAAAAAGACAGTCAATGCTAAAAGTAAAATTAGTAAATTTGCCTAAACTCAGAACATTAAATCAATAATTTTCTTCAAGTCTAATGTGTTACTATTATAGCTGTTTGTAGGATATATACCCTATATACATTTTGACTTTGTTTAGAAAGAGAATTAAAAGATTTTTTAATGCAAAGAATTGTTTAACGGTAACCTTCATTGTGCATGATTGCAATCAGTTTGGTAAATTGCATTTGGGTGAATATGGTAGTCATTTTATTATAATAGTGTATATATAGGGCTTCTCATCTTTATAACAGGAAGCTAACTAGAGCAAATATGATTAATTCCATTCTTCTTGGGGAGAGACCCCCCTAGTTGAGAGTGGTGAACTGATTTATAGTATTTATACAAATAGGGGCAGAGCTTGACCCTGGGGCTCTGTAGTACAGATCAAGTGATATAATTACTAGCTTTGTGCATGTGGGTGTGGTGGTGTACACCTTTAATCCCAGCTGCTTGGGAGGCTAAGGCAGGAAGATTGCAAGTTCAAAGCCAGCCTTAGCAACTTAGCAAGATCCTCAGCAACTTAGCAAAACCCTTCTCAAAATAAAATATAAAAAGGGCTAGGGATGTGGCCCAGTGGATAAGTGCCCCTGAGTTCAATCCCTGGTATGAAGAAAAGAAAGTCTACATTTAAAATCTTCTGCCTAACTACAGAATTACAAGACAATATATCTGTTCCAAGCATACATGAGAAAATTGGGGAAGTTCTTTGATCTTAGTCAGCTTTTGTTATCATTTTTTATAGGTATTATACATGGAGTCAGGTTGCTACTTCATAGTTCAAAGTAATCAGAAATTTCACATAGCTTTCTCATTTTCCATTTATTTCATATTGCATATTTTGATAAGATACCAAAATAGGAGTAGAAGTTACCACTGGAATTAACTTGTAAATTTTTGTTTTAAATATCCAGCAGTTAACAGTATATCTACCTGACATGGTCAGGAAAAGGCCAAATGAATAGACACTACTAATGGTGTCTTGAAATTTTTCTAGTACAACTGATTTGCTGTCCACTTCTAATAAACTGAGATAGTTTTTATTCTCCCCCAAAGTGTAGCATCACTCAAGTTATTCCTTCAAGTTTATAGAATTTTCTCTTATTTAAATATTTCATTAAACTGCTCTCTCAATACCAGTCATGGAATTAAAAAAATTAATTCTAATTTGTTATAGATGACAGCAGAATGCATTACAATTCATATTATACACATAGAGCACAATTTTTCATATCTTTGGTTGTATACAAAGTATATTCACACCATTCATGTCTTCATACATGTACTTAGGGTAATGATGTCCATCTCATTCCACCATCTTTTTTACCCCCATGCCTGCCCCCTTCCCCCTCCCACCTCTTTGCCCTGTCTAGACTTCATCTAATCCTCCCATGCTGCTCTCCCAACCCAACTATGAATCAGCCTCCTTACATCAGAGAAGACATTTGGCATTTGGTTTTTTGGGATTGGCTAACTTGACTTAGCATTATACTCTCCAATTCCATCCATTTATCTTGCAAATGCCATGATTTTATTCTCTCTTATTCCAGAGTAATATTCCATTGTGTGTGTATATATATATATATATATATATATATATATATATATATATATGCCACATTTTCTTTATCCATTCATCTACTGAAGGGCATCTAGGTTGGCCCTCCAGTTTAGCTATTGTGAACTGTGCTGCTATAAACATTGATGTGGCTGTGTCCCTGTAGTATGCTGTTTTTAAGTCCTTTGGGTATAGACTGAGGAGTGGGATAGCTGGGTCAAATGGTGGTTCCATTTCCAGCTTTCCAGTCATGGAATGTTTTTAAGCTTTGCTCATTTTTGTGTTAAAAAAAAGTTATAAACCACCTACAACTACTGCTGTAGCTAGAAAAATGTTGCTAAATCTGTGACTGTTGATATTGTCATATAAGCCATCATCACTTTAATTTCTGTGTTGGCTTACTTAGCAGTGAGAGTCGACTGGGTTTCACATAGAAAGACTTTGGTTTCAGTTTCTTATTATTTACCCTTTTAAGCTGTGTGGCTTTGGGTTAAACATCATCCCAGTTGTTCATATATTTAAAATGGGGAAAACCACTCTGGTTTGTTAAAGAATGATGGTGACATTAGCACATCAAAAGGTTTTACATAATGAAGCATACAGATATTTGTTGTTATTGTTAATCCTACATGGAGAATGAAGGCATCTACTTTTTCATCTTCTAATGCAAAGAATATGACTGAATAAATGTATAAGCATCACCACACTCCAGCAGAAAGTGCCATCTGTATTAACAATCTATTCTAATGCATGTGTATATGGTCATTTCAGCAAGGGATTATTTGATTTTTCTTCTTCTTCTTCTTTTTTTTTTTGCTCTCCCTGTGCATGATGATGGCAGGTTTTAAAGTGTATCCTTTACTAGTTCACAGGGAAAAAGTCACTATGTCTGTAATCCACTGAGACTTGCCTGGTTCACAGGGTGTCAGCCATTGCCAAGGCTGGGGTGTGGGGGAAGAGGGAATGAATGGCCCAAGAATGGCAGGAAAAAAAATGTCTGCTAGACCCGATTAGGCTGAAGAACCTTGATAGACTGTGTATGTTTGCACATCCCAATTTAGGCTTCACCCTGGCAAATATAGAGGGGAAAACATGATTTTTTGTGAAATGGAAACATTCAAGTTTAGCCTTAGTCTTGTATTAGCTTTTGCTTATTGGAATCCTATTTTATGTATGTCAGTGATCTGGTTACATCCTAGAATCCTAGAAAGTTTGATGAGTCCTGGGCTCCACCCCAGAGATTTGTCTGTAATGCTAATTGGTAGAGGATTCTAACCTGTAGCCAAGATTGAAAACTGCTGATGTGGATGGGTTTCAAAAGGAAAACACCATCTATTCCATTAAGAACAAATATTCTTTATCTTAGAATCGGGGTCAGTTAAAGAATACAGCAGATTAAATAATATATATGTTCATGAAGACATATCTCAGATACTGTTTTTCCCCTCTCTGAATTTTGTTTGAGCATTTGGATTGCTTCTCGTTCTTAGAACAGACAGATGAGAGTGTACTTTTAGAATATCCCAATGCTAATTTTTACAAACAGTACCTTATTCTTTCCTTCTATTACTGCTGTACGCTGAGTGATGCTCTCAATTCTGTTTCCTGTGTTGCTTTCAGGATCCAGGATAAAGGATTCTTCATTATTGGAACAAAAGTCATACCTATTAAAAAAAATGTATGTCATTACAATGTTGCTTTGCAGTGTGGTTCAGTCAATGGTGAAATGAAAACCATTGGCTAAGTCCCTAGATAGCAAAATCACAAATTTTATGTGAATCTTCTTTTCCTTAGATTTTTTCCTATATTCCTTCTCAGAAGTTAAAAATAGCAAATGTATTTACTTGAATTGAAAAAACAGCACTATGCTGCCATAAGTCCTTCATGTTCCAAATATTAAAGAAAACTGCATAAATTAGAAAAATTAATATCTAGATTATAATTTTTTTCCTAGTGGAAGTAACATGCAGACACGGGGAGGGAGTGAAGTTATGTTAATGAATAGAAACCTTGAGGAAATAATAGCATTTCACATCTTATAAAAGGCTGGCTTTTAGTCAGAATATTCAGTTGAACTGCTAAATTTTTCCAGGATTAATTAAATGCATATGGAAACAAACATCTTGAAGTGGTTATTAAATTCAGTCTATTTCTTTTCAGGTCTTGGGGTATCATGGCAAGCTCTTTAACTTCTTAGGCCTCAAGTGTTTAATTATAAAATAAGGTTGATGATGTTATCATTAGAGTCCATGAAATTTCTTTTTATTTTAAATATTTCATCATTTTGTATTCTTACCTTCTGAACTAGAACTTTTGGTGATCAAAAATCTTGCTTGTCTCAATTTTACCCATTTTTTTTGGCAAATTCTGAAGATTTTCAAACCAGAAGGAATTTTAAAGCTTTATTTCCAGAAAGAATGAGTGGTTGATCTTAAGTAGCCAAAAGCAGTAAAGATTTATGTAAAATGAAAGTGGGAGGATAAAGAAAGAAAGAAGCCAGGATAGATGGGATTGTGAGGGACAGAAAAAAAGTTCAGTTATTCCTCTCTGTGGTTTTTGAGCTGGGAGGGCCCCAGAATGTTAAACTGTCTAATGTGATAGGCTAGGCACCCCTTCCTTTGTTATATGCCCTATAACATCCTCCTGCAGAGTACTCACTACCTTCTCAGTGGCCACTTACTCCTCTGAAGCCCCAGTGGGAATAGCTAGAGGAGGACAGTGGCCATGTCTACTTATTCACCCTGTCCTTATAGCTAAGCAAGGGACTAGCCTGTAATTGGTATTCCATAAATATTTGTAAAAGTACAGACAGGCATAAAGTACTGTTATATTTCTATGAAGAGTTTTTATTATTTTCAAATGTATTGGTAAGTAGAGAGCATAATATGAGAAACTGCCATGTATCTGTCACCCAGATTGTTTTGTTTTTTTAGTGTGTGTGTGGGTGGGAGGCGGGGAGGAAGGGGGTAGTGCTAGGGATGGAACCAGGGCCCAGGGCTAGGTAGGTGGTCTACAACTGAGGTACACCCCTAGCCCCATCATTGAGATTTCATTTATCAAAATTTTGCCACATTTGCTTCATCTGTCCCTTATTGCTTTTTATTTTTTCCTTTTGTGAAACATTTTAAAACAGATCTCTGACATATTATTTTGGTCCTATGTGCTTCAGTGCATCTCTCTAAAAAATACGCATGTTTTCTGAAGTAACCACAATGCTACTTTTATGCCTAATAGGATTAGCAATTCCATGTTGGTATTTGTACCCAGTCCATATGTCAGATTTCTCCAAATATTTTTAGAAATATCTGTTTTTACAGTTAGATTATAAGATTTAAAATATAAAAGAAGGTATGACTATTTCTTAAGAAATTTCTTTGATTCCTGTTAGCTATTCTTTAAAATCATCAGGTAAGAGAAGTGAACATTTTAATCCTCCTTTATTAGAGAAAACTTAAATTATATATTTTCTCATTTACTGGAAACATTTTAATAATACAGTTTTATTATTAAATAAATGATTAAATGATTTATATAAATCATTATATAAAAGTCAGTTTGCCCTGTTTTTTATTATAAGTATTCTCTATTTTCTGGACTGTAACATCTGTGCCTTGAACTACTATTTGATTTCACCTTTCCCTGCCCTCAGTGCATACATGAGTATATATAATCTGTGTGAATACATATGTGTACACCTGAATTAGACACTTGCGTGTGCACTTAAGCTTGTGACATTAGACACCTGAGGTTCTCTTGTACCTGCAGGAGAAGGCTCTATATTTCATTCTCTTTGTTAAAGCAATAAAAAAGATAAGGGGGCTTTAGTCAAAGATTATACATTCATATACTTGATCCTCAGGAAATGCAAAGAAACATGTTAGAGTAAAGCAAGTCTAGGCATTTCCCAAGGGAAATACAGTCTACTGACTGAGTTCACTAGGGTCTATTGACCTCTGGCCTCTCCACTTCTCCCCTGACCCCCCACCTCCCACTTTGCCTACAGCTCCAAGGATAGTTACAAACTGCACAGGTCCTACTATGGAAACCATATCTGACCTACTGCTAGGTCTCCCAAAAGAAAAGGACAGAATCTGTGGCTCTTTTCTAATTTAGGGGCTGTTATTTTTCCCTCTTTGTAATTGGAACCATAAAAATAGAATGTCATTTAGGAGCCTAACTCTATAACAACACTTGAAAAGAGATTTAGGGGGAGGGGAATTTGTCTAAGTTTTAAGAATACATCAAGCTCTTAAGGAAGTAGATTGTGCCATGTTTGAAGATGCAAAGATAATCACTGTGCTGGGAACCGTCTTGAGGGGGGAGGAAGCTGAACAACAAGAGGAAAGCAGCATTCGCTCCTGATTTCGCACAGGAAGCCCACAGCACCTCCTGCCAAAGCGAGATAAGAAAGCTCCCATGCACTATTCTGGACAAGGCCACTGTTATCAGCTTCAGGTCCGTGCTGTCCTCTCTATGCTCCAAGCCTCTGTCCCTTTCCTAATGAGCTTTAGGACTCCTACCTCCATGTGCATATAGCATGCCAAGTATAATAGCATGGAGGTATTTATAACCAGTGAAAGGAAAAAAGGAACTCTGGGGGTAAGAGAGTATTCCATGTCTTCTCTATCAATTGCCCTAGAGTTGAAACAACTTAGTTTTGGACCAGAGATTGACAAATAAAGTACAAGTCGGCCAATTATGTATCCAACACATGGAGCTGGGACCCTACATGTGACATGTCAATCTGTTTAACTCCAACTGGGTGCCATCTGGAGAGCTCTCCCATCTGGTCTAAGTTATTAGTCTTCTTCTCTTGACACATAATGGGAAACTGCCACCCTCCATATATGTGGATGACATACTAATGACCTACATACTTGTAGTGGTAATGGATTTGCCCTGTTCTCTTTACACTTATAAATATTTGACTCTGGGCTGGGGCTGTAATTCATTGGAAAAGTGCTTGCCTAGCATGAGTGAGGCACTTGGTTTGATCCTCAGCACCACATAAAAATTAATAAAAGACATTCTTTCTGTTCATCTACAACTATTAAATAAATAAGTAAGTAAGTAAATAAATAAATAAATAAAAATATTTGACTCTTTTGTGACCAAAATCAGGTAAGGGCAGTCTGGACCCACAGCAAAAGGTGAAGCCAATACAGGTCAAACCTACAGTATTAGCTGCTGTTAGAATTTGTACTCATTTCTGGCTCACTTCAGAATCTTGCACTTAACCTTTATACCATATGTAATATGATCTATGGACTACTGTCACATACTCAGAAATTATTATACCCCAGTGCTTCTTTATATATAGGAAGAAAAGCCTCAGATATTCACTGTACTAACATTATTAGTGCATTGGGAATTTATGTCTTTTTTAGCCACTTTTTTATAACATGGTTAGCTTATGTCCAAAATGTGGTTAATGCCTCTCATCTTACATCCAAAATATGTCAAATGTCCATTGTGTGCAGATTCTGCAATACAGTTGTCATTAGACCTTACCTTGTTATCCTGCAGTTAGTTCCTGAGCTCACCACAGTTCCTATTCACCTTTACAAATCCAGCACTTGCAAATACGATGCATAGTATGTTCCCCAAAGTACTCTTACATTCAATTACCTGTGATTTTTTTTTAAGTGCTGATTTTTAATAATTCTGACTTTTAGGTTTTCTTTATTCCTTCTTCCTGTTTCCCCACCCTTGCTTAAAATTCAGATCTGTACTTGCTTTTCTTTAGAAGATAGATGATTACATCTGGTAAAATCAGAAGGAAGACTCTAGGTGAGCTTTAGTCATTGATGGTATTTACATTTTCTTGAAAGTGGCTCTCTCATATGAGAAAAAAATAGAATTGGGTAACAATTTCAGAATTGGGTAAAAATGACAGAATTTTTCTCTGAAGAATTTGATGGAGTGGTCTAACTCTTTGTTTAGCCTTTTTAGAAATTGCCATCTAGAGCTTGTTATGGTACCCAAGATTCCTGTTGTTATCCAGTATCAAATTCTCATTTTATAATAAGATGATGTTCTGCTAGTTAAATAACCACACCAGTTCTAGAAGGTCTACTTTACTGCTGACTCCTAAGATAAATAGATATTTGTTTTATTTTAGGATCCCCTTTTAACCTACTAGAAATTATATTAAGCTGACATTTTTTTCCCCAAAAATCTCAATTCTGTTATGGCTTACCCTTGGCTGGCAGAAGGGAAGTGGTTGTTATTGAGCTGCTACTATTTGCCAGGCTTGGGATAGGAGATATATACATTCATTTTGCCTCAACTAGTTCTCACAGTCCCCCAAGAAGCAAGAATCATGGTCCCCATTTCACAAATCCTTTTACCAGTAAGGGAACTGAGATCCAGAAAGATCAAATGCCTTTCTCAGGTTCATAGAGAAAGGGTAGCGCTGGGCAGAACCCTCATGTCCTCTTTCCATCACACCAGAGCTCTATTACCCAGAGTAACTTTATTCCCAAGGAACCTCCCAAATCTTTCCCATTATACTTTCTAGGGGGAGTCTGGCTCAGAGTCACTTGTTTCAGAGAAAAACTCTGGGAGTTCTCTGAATTCAGACTGGCACAAAGTCACACACTCTGAGAAAAATTTTAATTTTCAAGAGGAAGATGTACCTAGTCCTTTGGCAGACATGGATGAA